GTCACATGCTGCGTAGAGACAGCTCTGCTTTACCTTTCTGGTTCTTCTTTCACTACAGCGAACTGGGCTGACTGACGGTTTGACCTCGTCTGATCCTGCACCTTCTCGCTGCCCTCCAGCTCCTGCTCCAGGGAGGAGCTGGTGCTGCCCTCCCTGCTGACATTGCTGCTCCGCCCAGGGCTGTTCTCTGTGGAGGCCCTCGGCGACTCGGTGTTCTGCTTCAGGGTCTGTAGCTTGGCCAGCGGGATAATGTCACAATTCTGCGGTCGGTGCCATACGGTCCGCTGGGTGGTGGCATTGTAGTAGTAGAACCGTGAGGTGTTCGGGTCAAACAGTTCCCACCACTGGTTCTCGTTGGTGCGCTTTATGCGGACGCCAGCGGGCGGATCCCACACACACTCCCCTGTGATGAGGTTGGCGTACATGCGCTCCCGGGTTCGAGGCTCTATGATTTCCACCCATTCCAGCCTGAGGGAGAACAAAGAGGGACAATTTAAAAGCTGTAGCAGTTGCCCAGAACCAGCTAGGAAGGCAGGGTGGAGAGCAAAGGCTGCTTGGGAGGGGATGCAAGTAAGGTTTTCCCAAACCCTGGCTTGCACTATTCCCTATACAAGGCTATGGATTCCAGTGAATCTCCCTTAAATGCATCCCTTCTGAAAGGCCTTTGCCCCATCCCCAGCTCACAGCACAGAGGGGAGTGAGCTAATCTGATGACTGTCTAAAAGGCTTCAGAGTAGCAGCCGTGTTAGTCTGTATCCGCAAAAAGAAGAACAGTGCATCCGAAGAAGTGGGCTATAGTCCACGAAAGCTTATGCTCTAATAAATTTGTTAGTCTCTAAGGTGCCACAAGTCCTCCTGTTCTTCTTTTTGTCTAAAAGGCGTTTTTTTAAAAATCCAAGCACTAACCAGATGTGCTACATTTTAGCTCTGACATTTTTTTCCTCTAGCGTCCTGAACCACCACCCTACTACCCTCATTAGTACATTGTCTATTCAGATTCAAAACTCCTCAGGGCAGAGACTGGGCTGAGAAATGCTTAGCATGCTGTTAGCACTCGCAAATAATAAAGAAATACAGAGGAATAAAAAGGTGATGCTAAGAGAGAGCAACAAAGTCCAGCAACAACCACATATAATATGGAAATGGAACCACTTTCTATAAATATAGAACCACTGCAACTAGTGACTGCAGTCCTGAGCACCAGATTTGGCCCCATTTATCTATTTCCAGGGGAATCTTAGAAGCCCTTTTTGCAGGATTGCTGCAGACTTTCAGACAACACTGAGCGTAACTGGTGTTTGTGAGAAGGAGTTTAGTACTCATGAAAATTGAGAGCTAAACATTGGACAGAGGCTGATATGATGTTGCTAAGAGCTGTAGCAAGCTTCTCTGCATACAACTATGCCAATGAATCTCGACGCTCACCTTCAGCACCTTTTACCTCTCCATTACTAAGCCCCCCAAAAGTCAGCTGCTGCCCTCACTCCCCACCTAGCGCATACCCTGCTAGTCCAGTCCTGGGCTCCAACAAAGCTCTGCCAGCATCCATATCTTTATCTCGACTTCCAGCACCCATCGCTATGCTAGTGCTGAGTCTCTGAGTTCTCTCACCTCCCACCTTCTACACAGGAGATCTCACAACAAATTTTTGGGTGGCCTCAGAGTGCGGCCACCAACTCCTGCCGGTGGCTGCTCGGACAATTTTTCCTAAAATACTTAACCAACCGTAGGAAAAACAAATTACAATGATTTGGAGATGTATATATGTGGATATGTATTTATGTATGTAGGGTTTTTTTGCAGATTCAATAACAAACATAATGTACAACTGTTTATTCTTTACTGGACCTCAACAGAATAGACACACAAATAAGTTGCTTTGCATGTTTTGCCTTAAAAAAAAAAAAAAAAAAAAAAGACTTGCTAGCTAGTGAATCTGCTACTGTGAAAAGTGACATTTGTATATTTGTTAATATCACTTTTCACAGCAAACTTACTCAGCCCTGGATGGGGAGGGAGGAAGGGAGCCAGGGGTGATGGGGGGCTGAGGAGGCAGCAGAGGACGGGACGACGTTCAGGGAGCGAACCCGTGGCTGAGTCCTTGGGGCCAGAGCCCGAAGACCTGCATCTCGGGGATGGAGCCCACTGCCACACGGCCCGAGCCTGCTGCCCACCACCCAGGGATGAAACCCAAAGCCGGAGTCCCACCAGGAAGGGGAGGAACTCACACTGGCCACCTGCGCCTACAGTGTGTGTGGCTCCAGAAGGTGGCAGGGCAGAGCCCCTGCTGGCGGCACTGGGGGATGGGCCACTGCTTTGCTGCCCCCCCACCCCAATCACCACCCAGGAGGCTCTGCCTGCAAGAAAAGCCCCTAGGGGCTGCATGCGGCAACAGTGGCCGCATTTGAGAAACGGATATGCACGGTGATTCCAGCACATGCTGCTGGCCACCTGCCACGTCTCCTGATTCACCGCTCTCCTGGCCGTGCCTCAACAGCCTAGCATCAGCTACAACGGCACTTCAGCTCGGCAGCACTGACACAGACCCGGCTGCACAAGGAAACTGACTCCCACTGCACAAATCCTGCTTTGGGTCATTCTGCAGCAGACTCCAGGTGTCAAGAACTGGATGCAGAAAAGGAACTAACCTACCGCAGCAGGGGAATTGTGTATACGTGGAAGGGATTAGCATGGTTCCCTCTGCTGTAGCTCTTTGGAGTATGTCTACACTGCAGCCGGGAGCGAACCTCCCTGCCCAGACAGAGACTCATGCTCTAGGGCTCAACCTAGCACAGTACAAATAGAAGTGTGGATGCTGCGGCTGGCTCAAGCCACTCCAGCTGCAGGGTAGACATACCCACCATGTGTCAAGTACTATCCTGACTGTGCAGAGACAGACCCAAACACAGTAGAAAAGAAAAAAGCTTGAGCAGAAAATGACCTATTTATGCCCCATACCATTTCTCCCTCCCCCTCCCCGCCAAAAAAACCCCAAACATTTGGACACCCAAGTCTCCAGGTGAGCTACCGTTTTTTGTACCCTGCTGAGTTACCAAACAGGAGAACAGTTTTGCCTTGCTCACTAAAGAAGCTTCCTTGCTGATGTAGGAGAAAGGAAGGTTTAAAATCATATTCGCGGATAGAGGATCATTCCAGTCAGCAACACTCCAAGGGGCCTCATACATGGTCAATCTATCCAGGACAGGACTTTTTCCCAGAGCCCCCCTGTCTCCATCTAGCCCCTGAATAGGGGTCTCATTCTACTTTCCTCTCAATAAAGATGCCTTAGGCA